CTTTCTCATCCACCATGTAGATCGGGGGAGGGAGGGGTGCTAAACTCAGATCATTTTTCTGGCCAGAAAAGTACTATTGGACCAGCGCTCCCCTGCTCTAAGTAGGCTGCTGAAGACTTGAGCTGGAGAGATGAGAATACTTCCCTCATGTTGGGGCCAAGGGGGAAATAGGACAGGTGCATAACCGCTCTGTGGCAAGGTGACGAGCGGAGGGGCCAGAAGGAAGAGGGAAGCAGGGGGACCCAGAAGCCAGCAGATCCTCCAGCTGGTCTTGTAGAGCTCAGCGCCCAGCAGCCAGGCTCTCCGAAGCTAGTCTCACTCTGGTTCCACGTGCGGTCCCGTTTCACCGCCCAGGAGGAAATGGCAGCAGTATTCGCCGGGCTTACCTCCCGCGCCTGTTCTCCCTGGCTGGGCTGCGCTGTGTAGAGAAGACCCAGCTGTCCTTCCCACTAGCCTTCTGCTTCTGCTGCACAAAGTCACCCGGGCTGTGATTGATCCCTGGCTGACGTCTTCACTGGAGGATGCTCACGCAGGAACCCAGGAGGGCTCTGTCTCCAGTTCTTCTATGCCCCCCTGGACTTCCAAAAGTAATTAGAATGAGCAACATTATATAAGGAACAGTATCTAAATTGTAGTATTTACATAAAAGGTACAATTAGCTTTTAGCTTTGTACCCAGTTAAGTATTAAAAAGCAAATATTAGTCAATTAAGTCCCTTCACACCGCTTTCTTCCTAATCCTGTGACAGAAACCTGAGTGGTTTTCATCTCTACGTTTGATTTAATTGTTAATATGCACGTGTTAACATATGTAAATATCGAGCTAATGCTCTCGCATCTGTATGTCTTCTGCGAATTATTCTAATATGATGCTTGTCCATATTGATACATTGTCATTCTTGAGCAATATTATTCCTATGCAAAAGTCTGACACACCCATGTATGTAAGACCTGTCAATAATCCATGTCCTTGGTGTTAAACGTTTAGATATTATAAGAAAATGCTGACAGTATTTTCCCGTGTGTATCCTAGCTCCTGCTGGCTGGCGCACACGTACGGGAGATACTCCTGGGTGGAGACTTGGGGTGGAAACGCTGAGCTGTTGGAATGGATGTGTAGAACAGCTGTCATTGGTGCTCAGTCTGCAGAACCACCCTGGGAAAATGCCGTGTCTTTGCGGCTGTAGAAGCAGAGGCGGAGGAAATAAGTCGGTGTGATCAAGGGGGAACACAGAACGCAGAACATACAACACTCATTCCAGCCTGGGTGTCCTCACCATCCGTGGCATCCGCACACGGACAGGAAAGCTGCTGGGTGCCATGCAGAACTTTCACTTTTCCAGTCATGGCATTTCTCATTTTAGAAAAACAATCTGCTCTTGTGTCACATTTCCAAAATGCCTTTGCTCGTCACACTGTCTTGTTTTACTGTAAATCACCAGAGAGCCGTCTTCTCCTGTTAACCAAACCAGCACGGACTTGGTCAAACGACCCCCAAGGCCTGTGTGATGCTGGGGTTGGGCCCAAGTCAGTCTAAGTTAGCCTGCCATGACAGTTTGTACATTCCTTTCTCTACCCTGAGCAGTGTTTTTCTGCTAAGAAACTAACAACTGTGCTGGGACTCTGAAGCCAAAACCACAATGGTAGGGCTCATATTTAGACCACTGCCTGGTGTCGCCGATTTAGAGAAGATGCGGTTAGCATCTGACTGTTGGCATTTCTAATGTTTCAAATTAAAAATAACTGCCACATTTCTTCTATAGCAAAAATTAATTTGGAATTGCCACAGGAGTTAAATGATATCCATCCAGATATTTCTACCAATGTTACCAGTTAAGCATTCTCACCCCCAAAGGCTCATGGGACAGTAATTTGCCAACATTTAGTACTTACTGTATTTCAGTGTCTCGACTAAATATAAAGGAAACTTTTGTATGTAACAAGTTGTTGGTAAGATGGTTTGTTTGGCTGGCATTATTATTTGGCAGGTGGCATTCTCACCAGAGGAGAAAAGTCAAGCACACTGAGAGGCCTGGGGTGTGTTTTTAATGGATAAAGGACAGATTTTTACTTGCTTTCCTATCAATAGCTATTAATGTTGGTAAGAATGTGTCAGGAGAAATGCTGACATGTTCATAGACAAGGTACAAAAGCATTCTCTTCTAGAATCATCTCTAGAATGGATAAGCATGTGGCGGCTCCTACCATTGTATGTACGAATGTTCGCAATGGCCAGGCTTCCTCGTACATACTGTAGTCCCAACTCTGAGGAGGTTCAGATGGGAAGAATTCAAGTCTGAGGGCTGGCTGGGCTACACAGTGTTGAGACTCTTGTCTCTAGGGCAAAAAGGATAAATGCATATATTCCCTTAGAATCTCGCATGATATACTCAGAAGCTTCCAATCTGTGCTGGGAGACACACAGTCCCTTGTACAAGCCAAGCCATGTGGTAACACTCGTGGACTGTGAATTTGAAATGACAGACCTCTGGTATACATGCTAAGTCTCTGATAATAACACCGTCTGGCCAGGCCAAATCAAGTAATAAGTTTGTCTATGCCTTAAGAGATAAGGCCAGGCAGTTGAGAAAACATTCCTAGTAATGGTTTCTAAGAAAGAGGTCACTCTGAACATGGATGCCCTTTTGTTTCTTAGTTGGTTATCAGGGACACATTCTCTACACCAACTGCTAATCGCAAAACTAGATCCAAATCAGATTCATTTGCGTAAAGCCTTGTGGTGGTTTGAATGAGGACTGTCCCCTGCCGGCTCAGGTATTTAAACACGCGGTTCCCAGCTGGCGGTATGTTTTGGGAGGCTATGGAACATTTGGAAGGTGGGACCTGTGAAGAGGAAGTATGTCACCAGGGAATGGCTTCGAGGGCTTATGCCTCTCCCCACTTCCTTCTCTCTCCTTTTCTTATTTGCCTGTTTATGAAAATGGGATCAGGCCAGGTTATGTCTTCTCTGCCAAGATGGACTTTATCTCTCTAGACGAGTAAGCCACAACAAACCTTTTCTTCCTCAAGTTACTTTTGTTCTTGTTATTTTATCGCAGCAACAGAAAAGTTACTAATATGTGGTTGAATCTCTGTTTCTCCTTATTGTGACTTGAGGGTTATATACATTTTTAAATTTTTTTTCTCACAGAAGTTTATTGTCTGGCTTATGATGTGCTACAGTGTACACAAAGATACATACAATATTTCATCAATTTTATTATTGATTGCATGTTGGAGTGACAATATTTATGATGAACTGGGTTAGGTAGAATACATCATTAGAGCGAATTTCATTTTTAGGATGATTACTGGATTTTATTCTCTTATATATGAGAGTTTACTTTATTGCCTTTTAATCTTTATTGTACATTTTTATGGGGATATAGATTAGTGGTCTAGCCCATGTAGATAATGTATTATGATCCAATCAGGGCACTTAGTAATTCGATCTCCTTATATGTTCTTTCACCTGTAATAAGTGAACATTTATGAAGTATGTTATGGCTATTGGTAAATAACTTCCATTCTTATGGAGTAAAACCCAGAGACTGTGTATACAGATGTACCCCAGTACAATAAGACCACGTACCCCAACACGACAAGACCATGTACTCACCCCGTCACCAAGGACATGCCAAAATCCCATTGTGTTCTGTTGTTTGTTTTGTTTGTACAAGAGGAGCCGTGAAAGCCAGATATTTGCATAAGCCTTCAGCTACAGATTCTTCCAGAAAAGCTGTAGCGATAGCATTAATTAACAACATTGTTTACAATCTTGGAAATAAACAACTGGAAAAAAAAGAGAGAGATGATTACTTTATTTTCAGCAGAAAACAGAAACCATAGAGAATTAAATTAGAAGGCAGTAAAATTATCAATGGAGGTAGCACTTCTAGATTAAATTATTAAGGTTGATATATCCTTGGAGAAAACAGTTATCACTTTGAAGACATAGCAGATTTGAGAAAACTAACAAGTTTGAAAAGGAAAATGGATGTAGCTTAAATGAATCACTCAGTGACACCCTGTGACCAGCTGCGCTCAAGCGGAGAACACCCTTCTCAATTAGACCTACTCTCCTTCCTCCCTTCCTCCCTCCCCCCTCCCTCCGTGTGTGTGTGTGTGTGTGTGTGTGTGTGTGTGTGTGTGTGTAGGCACACATGAGTGCACATGTATGTGTATGTAACGGTCAGAGGTCAACATCAGGTATTGCTCTTAGGTGCTGGCCATCGACTGTGCTCTATGACATGGTGTCTCTCTCTGGGACCTGAGGCACTCCAGCCCCTCAGGTGAGGCTGACCAGTCAAGAAATCTCAAGGATCTGCCTCTCTCCCTCAATGCTGGGGTTCCAAGGGTATGCTACTGTGCCTAGCTTTTTTACGCGGGTTCTGGGGACCAAACTCAGGCCACCGTACTTGCCTGTGAGTTATTTTACCAGTTTGTTTCCCTGGCTCTAATAGATTCATCTCGGTACTGGGGAAGAGTAACCCGCAACTATGTGTAAATGACTTTTTCATTTACACAGAAATGCCTCGGCTACATCTTAGAGAGAAACGGTCCTTTGAAGTGTTCTTCACCCAACTCTCAAAACAAATTCTTTCACTTAAGAAAATGCCACGAAACCTTTAGATGTACGGAAACCCGGACACCGCCGTCCTGGCCACTTCCTAACTCAGAAAATTACATTGTGATTATCGATGTTCTCTTCTTGTGGCTCTATTATCAAAAGACAAATGACTCTGGTTGGAATCTAATTTCCTCTTAGAATTAATGCTGCAAAATTAATGGGCCACCTGATCACGTTTCAAAGGGTAAATAAATGACCATCCTTGGTATGGGTCAGGGTCAGCGGTGACTCCTGCATGACTCACAGAAATGAATGAGCACAAGCCAGGGGACCTGTGGCCAAGAAGCCACAAGCAGTCCTGAGGGCCCGGCAGGAGTAGCTGGGGAGGTTGCTTCTCTTTCCCTAATGTCCTCAACAATCTCGGCTTCCAGGAATCGTTACAGCCGAGACTGCTTCGTGAAGGCAAGGGTGCAGCTTCAAGGACCTCCTGGCACTCTTGGTATATACGCACCCAACTGTCAGCCTCCGTAGGGTGAGTTTTCCCAGACCTAGGACAATGCGTACGATGAAGAGCGGGCTCTGTGTTTGTGGCTAAAAGAAAGGATGGGAGGAAGAGAGGGAAGAAAGAGGATGGAGGATAAAGGAGAGGAGAAAGGCGGGTGAGGAGGAAGAATAGGAGGCAGGCAGAGAAGAAAGATAAAAGGCCAGGATTCCCACAGAAAAGCTCAAGGAGCTAAAACGAGGAAAGACAGTTTTACAAATTGTAGTGTATCTGAGGGCGCCTGTTTTAGGCCATACAAAAGTGAGTGAATTTACTCATGACCCTCCTCCTAGTGATCGGATTGAGGATCCCCCCCCAGGAGCCAGGAATTTATGTTGTTGTAAGGTTCTCACATGAGTCTGGTTGTTTCCTTTGCAGACCACAGGAACCATGGGCCAAATTCAGACCCAACGGCCCACCCATACAACAGATGTCCTGCCTTCCAATTTGACACTCCAGCTGGGACAGAACTTTGGAATGGTGGGTAGGGCCACAGGAGACTGCTATAGGGGTTTCAACACCGACGAAACATAAAACGGAGCCTGGGTCGGGATTCCTGCTTTCCCACAGTAGTTCTGTTGCTTGTCAAGGCTCTGAATCGCGAACTACATATGTTCCAGGCTTGAGGCTATATTCATAACGGGGCCAGTCTGTCTTACTCCACCATGCCGCTACAGTCAGCCAAACAGTGTTCAAATACACACACAGACACACACACACACTCACACACACACACACACACAGAGAGAGAGAGAGAGAGAGAGAGAGAGAGAAAGACAGACAGACAGACAGAGAGAGACAGAGAGACAGAGAGACAGAGAGACAGAGAGACAGAGAGAGAGAGAGAGATCTCATGTAACACAGGCTGGTTCAAGCTCCCTGTGTATCCTAGCATGGCTTCGAACTATTCCCCCTCCTGACTCCACTCTCCTAGTGCTGGGATTGCAGGCCTGTGTCACCAAGTCAAGTTTTACAGCAGGCTGGGAGGTGTGTGTCAGGTGAGGACTCTACCAGCTGAGCTGTATCCTCAGTGTCCGCCTCCTCATGTCAATTTTGTAGCTCAAATGATCTTGGGAACTACTCAGTTCCATGTCTTAGTTTCTCCCCTTGTAAAATGAGTGAGATGGTCACATAACGGGACGCTCTGAGGTTAGACCTGTTTCACAGAATAGACTAATGAGCTGATAGACATGGGATGCCCAGGTGTCCAAATGATGAGCTATCCTTATATGCCTCACTTTAAAAATGCTCTATGCATAACGTTTTGTATGTATGCAGTTCCTAAATCCTGCACTTCGCAACTTTAGCTCGGAAGCTATAGAATGTGATGACACATCGGGTTGTCTATAAATACTCTGAGCTGAATTCAGGCTACACCTGGAGCTGGGACTCAGCTGGAGAAGGCTGACTGTGCGCTAGCCTTCGTCTCGAGCCTCAGACTGTCAGCAGAAGGACCGCTCAAGCGGCTTGCTAAACGCATACCTCCCAGGCCCGCTCCCTGGTGAGACCCACGCAGTGCAGGGCCCAGCGTCTGCCCTTGTAAGCAGAGCACCATATTGTACACTGTGTATGGTCCAGGCTTAGAGACACGGCTCTCTGTCCTGTGGCGGTGTCTAGAGCTCGGTCAGACTCCTCGAACCGTGCTGCCTTCAGCCTTCCGAGAACAAGCAAATGAAGCATCAGGGCCCAGGTCCGAGGTCTGGATCCCCACTGCGGTGATAAGCCTCACGGGTCTGGGCAGCTCCCCTTGATGGTAGCTCTAGAGGTGTGCTGTGAGTGCAGACGCAGAGAGAAGTCTGTTTTCACTCCGTCAGGGTGTCCCTCTGGACCGAGAGCGGAAGTTCATCTTCAGGGAGGGAAGGCTAGCCCTCAGGGCTTTCTCCTCCCTTTCTGCCCTTACCACCATGACAATGCCCTGGGGCATCATGCACATGCTTGAATTTCAATGGCCCACCCACCAAGTTCTCCCATGTTTGTGGTGGGGAGAAATGAGGTCGCTTTTACACGTGGTTAAGGCTAGCCCATGAGCAAACACAAGCATTCCCGTCGTCAGGGTCACCACGGCAGCTGGCAGAAGCGATTCCTGGAAAAAAGGGGCCTGATTTCCTCCACTCGACACGGTTGTCCTTGGCAAGGTTGTCTTCACCCACGGCCTGGATGGCTCTCTGCATTCTGAACTCCTCGTGAGCTTTGGCCTTTCCTCATGAGATAGCGTGGAATGGTCACGCACCTTGGGAGGCACGACACGCCGACTTCCTCCTTATATAATATAGCAGTCGTGTGATAACCACCCCTTATGGGTAAATTAATGCCAGTCTAAAGATGCCATTAAGGTCACAGAAAGTGTCTCAGAACCAAATTTGTATGTCAGCAAAGTGACAACACTCCCCAGTGTGCACCTGCTCTGCCACACTGACGGTTCCACAGGGACGTGAGCCCCAGACAGATGCAGACACAGAGAGTAGAAGGCCAACGCGGCTCCAGTCCTGCTCTTTGATGGCATAACCAGAGAGTGTAGCCATTCTCTTGGAAGCCCCCCCCAGGCGCATCATAAGGCTTGGGGACAGGAATGGAGCCCACACAGCGACAAGTTTATTCCAAACACACGCGTGCAGCCCAGCCCTTGGGTGACAGCATACAACCGGGACTTCCAGAATGAACTGCGCAGTGGAGCATGCTGCTTATTAAGGGACGAGTAATAAAAAGTGCTAATTGAGGCTGACACTGATGTGAGCATTATCCAGTACGTGGCAGCAGTTGTTTATGACTGAGCACCGAGGTCAGCAAGCTTCCTCCACGAGGGCCAGATAGTAAATATTTTATTCTCTGTGGCCATCTGGCCTCCGTCACAAGCACTCAACTCAGCCGCCATGGTATAAAAGAAAGCTGGCATGGATACCACATAAATGAATAAGAGTTGTTCTAATAAAACTTTATTTGTAAAAACAGACAGCTGCCTGGATCACCACAGGCTATGCTTTGCCAAGCCATGAATATTTTTACAGGAATATTTTATTACTGATACTGTTTAGAGTTACTGAAATTTATTGAATATTTTGTTTATGAATTCTCTGTGGAAAAGGTACCCCCATTCTGAAAGTGGGTTTTCCCCCACTGCCAGTTCTTGCTTCCCTGTTATTTATATCTTACTCTTGAGGACCAACACAACACCCAGTCCATCCTGGTAGCCCAGGGATCTAACAGCAGGCCTGTATATTGAGTATGCTCAATAAATACTCTTAAAATAAATTTACTCAGGTAAAGCAAAATTTCAAGCAAGGCTCAGGTTAACTAGCTGTATGGTTCATTCCATGTAGACCCCCACAGACTAATAAAAATCAAACAATTTGTGTAGAATAAGTAAACCTGGTTGTAATTATTTCCCCCATGCAAACAACCACCTCTTTACATGCCACGAAACAATGTGCCATAAACAATAAAATAAATAAGTCACTTATTTACACAGTGGGGTAGTTTCATTTCAGCCTTAAAATTATCCATTCTGCCTTTTTTTAAGCATCCATGTTATCTTTTACTGGTCAACACTCCCTACCCCACTTGGGTCTTGTTTCTCCTGCAGACTTTGGGGACTCCAGCATTCCTGCTGGCTGGGCTCTGCCCGGTCAGAGCTCCTAAGGAGGCGTTCTCTGATGTCCGCACTGTGCACTTCCTGGTCTGTGACCTCTGCCAACTGTCCAGAAGCCTCTGGCCACGTCACTGTAGGAGAACAGGTGCTGTGGTAACACCCACGCCTCACCTTCCTCCTTCTCCACACTGGCAGGTGCCCAGGCTCCTGACAGAGACTGCGGTTGACCTCAGCTTGCTTTGAATGGTGCCAGGATGACACCTGCCCCTTGTCCAGGGTTGTTTCTGAGGCCTGGGACTGTCTTGGCTTTGGTAGCTGCACCTCAGCCATAAATTCCTTCTGCATTGTGCATGAATATATCTTTACTCATGCCTTCTGGGACCTTTGAGTGTCACTGAAGTTGTTAGGGTCAGAACCTGGGCCCTGGCAATCCACACATCTAGACACACACACACACACACACACACACACACACACACATACACACACCCACACAGACACACATACACACATGTGCACACACAGGCACACACACAGACACACACACTCACATGATAATTAGGCCAATGAAACAGAAAAAGGACATATTCAGTATGGCCACATCAGGGAGAAGGACAATAAGATCCAGTGACCCCTCAAGGACATCAGGAAGTTTAAGCAGAGAAAAAAGAGTAATCTATATAATTAAGCAGACCCAGCTATAGTATGGCCACCCACCTCCGACCCATCATTGTCGGGGCTCCAGTCCCTCGTATAAGGTGCTCTGACAAGCCCTCAGCACCCTGTGAAGTCTCTACTGGAGACACATCCCTCCTCTGGCCGGAGTCAGGCTTCAGGCAGCCTTTTCTTGCCCCTCAACATGGGATTCCTGGGGAGTCAGAATTCCTAGGGCACCACTGTCTCAGTGATCTAGTTGCTGACATGGGAGACGTCAATGGTTCTTCAGAACGTCATCGCTCCCACGGGGACATGTACGCAGGGCAGAGAGACTAGAAGGGTAACATCTCGAGCCATCGTCACAGGATGCCATGACGGGAGTCTCCTGAGGTGCTTAGCCTCAGCAAAGGCGTTTTCTCAGTCGCAGCCTACTTGGCGGCTAAACGGGAGCACAGGTCAGGCGACTGCTTTGTGGAATTGATGTGCAAAGTCCCTGAGATGACACAGGTGCTCAGCACCTGCCCTCCTCGGGGACGCTATGCATGACGTTTCAGTGTTACCTCTCATACGGCTGTGCCACAGGTGCTCAGCACCTGCCCTCCTCGGGGACGCTATGCATGACATTTCAGTGTTACCTCTCATACGGCTGTGCGGTGTCTGTCTGGGGTGAGGAAGCACAGCTTGCGTGGGATGGTTGGATTCGATCATCTGTCTGCCCAGTGGAGTCTTCCAGTTGGGTTTTTGACTATTCGCCCTCCGTGGTTTGCTGATGAAGCTGCCAGGCAGGGTGGCTTGCGTGACAGGATCTCCTGCAGTTCCACTCACAGACAGTTCTTCCATTCTCTTTGTCTGTCTTCTGGAGCAGCTCCCCGGCAGTGTCTCTCTCTCTCTCTCTCTCTCTCTCTCTCTCTCTCTCTCTCTCTCTCTCTCTCTCTCTCTCTCTCTCTCTCTCTCTCACACACACACACACACACACACACACACTACACCAAGTCACAACTTCCCAAGGTCTGGCATGGGTGGCACCCACCTCTCTCCTCCATTCTCAGGCAGAAAAGAGTTATGGTTCTACCTGGGCAGATCCCAGCCATGAACAGTGTAGTCCGGGGACTACAGCAACACCATGCCTTTCCCCTGGTCCCTGGTTGAGTAGAGGAGTGAGCTTTCAAGGGGAGCAGCCCTATGAGCAGGAGATGGTGATGGGGTGGGGGCTATACTCAGGGCTCTCTCAGACTTCAGAGGGACCCCTGCCAAGCTGTCAATCAGCTTCCCACTGCCACAAAAAAATACCCAAGATATTTATCTTAAAGGAGGAAACATATTTTTCGCTCACGGTTTCTGAAGGTTCAGCCCACGGTCACCTGACTCATCACTTTAAGCTAGAGATGAAGACAAAAGTCATGGCGGGGAGTTTGTGGGAGAACAAAGTGACTTACCTTGTTCTGGTCAGGAAGAAAGGAGACATAAGGTCTGAGGTCCCAGCATCCCCTCACGGGCACACTCC